TTGGGGCCATTGCGAAGCTGGAGATATAAAAAAAAGGGTAAATTTCAAAAATTCCTGAATGTTGGGGGTTTTGAACAAAGTCCCCTGAACTTAATAATAGAAAGTAGAAACCCTCATTAACTTTCGAAATTATACCAAACCCCCTGAACTATTTGGGGCCATTGCGAAGCTGGAGATATAAAAAAAAGGGTAAATTTCAAAAATTCCTGAATGTTGGGGGTTTTGAACAAAGTCCCCTGAACTTAATAATAGAAAGTAGAAACCCTCATTAACTTTCGAAATTATACCAAACCCCCTGAACTATTGAAAATTACCCTAAGTGGCATTAATGTGTACCCCTGTGATTTTTTTTATTAATTTAAATCTAACCCTTATCTGAGATATAATAGAGAAGCAATATTTTGTAGATAGGGGTAAACTAGTCCAAAAGTTTATCATGTGCGGAACACATGTCAACTTAAGGTAACTATCATCAGTATGGTACTTAAATGGGACAAGGTCAGGGGGTTTTCTATGATTTATAAAGTTCAGGTGGTTTTGCGAAATTTACCTGTTCAAAAACAGGGATGGTAAACGATCAAATCGAATCGAATACTAAGGAACTCATATTTGTCTTTGTTTAAAATTTTCGAATTCGAATGCGGACTCTAATATTCATATATGGAGTTTTTCGAACTCGAACTCGAATACTTGGTATTTGATAAATATTCATGAATATTCAAGAATACTTATCGAATATCAAATTATAAGAATATCAAATTATATTTATTTCGCTAAAGAATTTGATTTTTAAATAGTATTTAAATTCATAAATAAAAATTATTCCTTTATGATATATGATGTATATATATTTAAATCAAAATTTTCATAAGAAAACATATTTAAGATTATTTAAGTCTTAAAATTAGTACATAAAACTTAAGTAGAAATGATAAGTGGGTTAAAAATTTTAAGTCTTAAAATTAGTACATAAAACTTAAGTAGAAATGATAAGTGGGTTAAAAATATGACATCATATGTGCAATAATACAAATAATAAACTTAAGTAGAAATGATAAGTGGGTTAAAAATATGACATCATATGTGCAATAATACAAATAATAAGTGATCTAATTTTAAACGAATATTTGATAGACAAACGAATCGAATATACATCTGGTTAAATTCTATTTGTTAGTAAACTCGGTTACTAAAAAATATTTGTTTAGTGGTAAATGAACTACCGAATCGAATATGGCCGAATAGTTATTTGAACATTTATCAAACTATTTGTTAACTTTTTGGTTCATTTCCACCCTTATTGAAAAACATAGCAACTTTTCAACTGTTTAGTGCTAGGCATTAATTATTACCAAGAGAAGTAACAGTAAAAGTTATCTTACACGTAATAGGCTCAGTAACTATGGAGGCATGATGATGAGAGTGATATCGAGAATACAGAAAGTGATGATGCAGTGCTCTGTGGAACCAGTAGTAGAGGAACTCGACCGGACCCATATGAAGAAGAATCGTCATCATCACTCCATCAGACCTCCAAATGGGTAGGTCTTTAGCGCTTGGGATGAGAGCATGGCCAATGTAGAAGAAAAAACCATTGAACAGGATCTGGTCATCCCTGACAATTTTCAAATCAACCTTAATTGTTAGGGGGTTCAGTAAGGCAGTGCATGCTAGATGAAGGGCATTATAAAAATTGTCGGAAACATTTCTTAATTTAGTGCAAGCCAGGACTGAAAGATACAGGTATAAATGGTTGATTGATTGGTTGAGATATAGTAGCATATATGTCTTTAAATCCATGATCGACCCTGGCATACTTGCACATAATATGGAAGTTTTCGTAGAGGATATGCAATGATTAGAATGAACATCTCAGCAGACATTGATGGTCTCATCATATATTGAATTAATGTATGAAAAAGAAAATTTTAAGGGCAGGATCAGACCAGTTCCTTTCCCGGTCGACCTGTTCAAAGTCGATGCTACGGTCGACGATGAGGTGAGGACTGCGTGCCGTCTGAAACCGAGAAATGCTGATCCAAATCTGGTTGTGTAGCATTCTTAACAACAGAGCAGGAAATATTATCACGTAGCCCATGTCAACCTCCTCCCATCCTTCTCTTCCTTTTCTTGCAGCTTTTATCATCGTGTTGAGTGCTGGTACCACCCAGGGCAACATCACAACATACTGCACTCACCAAGAGTTTACCACGTCAAAACTCCGAAATTATGATGAGGATTCACAGATATATTTTTTTGTAACAAAAAAGGAATAATATATTTATGAGTAATCTAGTTAGTGGTTCATTTTACATAACATTGCAAGCAATTTTTTTTCCAGGAGTCAACTATATATGGAGCAAAATTGGCACCAGTCGACGAGGAGGTCATAAGTGCAAGGCAAGCCTTCAACATGGGTAAATTCATACCTTTCTTTTAAAATAGTTATGTTAGGCTTTCATGTGTAGTCTCATATTAGAAAGAGTGTGCAAGAGTAATGGATGCAAAATATAAAGTTAGGAGAGCACTTAATTCCTTAAACGCTCGAATTAATTTAGTTTTTAGACAAGTTATACACCTTACTGAGAAAATTTATGGAGCCAGGAAGAAACCTAGGTGCTAGAGGAGATATGTTTGTATTTGCAGTGTGATTACCTTGAAGTTGCCAAGCCTTTGCCATGGCCATTCAGTAAGAGGGCCTGGCCTTGAAGCCATAGTGTCTCTGCAATTTTTCCTGTAAATGTTCTGAGTCGATGCCGCTTCTTATAGAAGATTGGTAGGTTGGCAAGTATTCATGCAGGTGCAATGCACATGACCAGCTAACTCCTAGAAAAGAGGAGGAGGAGGAGGTGGGGGTGGAAATTCCTATAGTGGGCCCTCTATAGAGAGGAATGAGATCACAACTGGTGTCTCACCAAAGATTTTAAGGTTGGTAGTAAAACTTGCTAGTATGAAATTATATTACTCAACCGTCATCACAACTTTGTTGGTTCACTGAAAGGGATCTTTTATGTGGTATCAGAGCAACCAACATTCAGAGGCTATTGGCCATCATTTCAATGCGTAATTTACAAAAAAAAAATTGGTATCAGTGCATGACTCCAGGTCTCGGTTTTTTAAAATGGCCCTCAATTTGTCGGGCATTGTTAAAGTATATAATTATAGCCCTTAACCTTCACCGTGGCTTCAAAGTTTTAACGCTGTGCCAGGAACCTTAGATGGTACTCATACAGTAGGTGGGGCATACTGAATTTCCCATAGGAAGCC